ATTGGGCTCTTTGAGGCCTTTTTTCCATCCCTGCATTTCCTCGTTTTTCCCAATCCAGCAGAAAATCAGGAAAAACCCCCTTGGATTTTTAGAGTAGTGGAAGAGGATCATTCCAGCGTTCAGGTTGGAATTCACCTCCAAGATTGTGGATTATTCCCGAGTATGGCAGCGACTGCCGGAAGGAGGGAAGAGGTTTGGGAATAAAATTGGGAATGTGGCAATCCCAGTTTCCATCGGGATGTTCCAGCTGCTTCTCCCTTTCCAGACCTTCTGAGCACAGGGAATTCCGGGAAAACCACCATCTATCCCTACCTTTTCTCCTTTGTCTCCACGGATTCCGGGAGCTCCTGTTTCTCCCTGGAAAACAACAGGGAATCATTCCATCAATTGCAAATTTATATTGATATAAATATCTATTTATCCTATATTTATATTGATTATATATTTCTATCTATCAGATATGTATATAAATTTATATTTACTTTATATTTATATTTATTATATATTTATATTTACCATATATTTATATGCATTTCTATTTATCCTATATTTCTATTTATTAAATATATTTCTATTGTATATTTGTATAAATTTATATTTATCTAATATTTTTATTTATTATATATTTATATTTATCCTGTATTAATACTTACTCTATATTTATATAAATTTATATTTATCCTATATTTCTATTTATTAAATATATTTCTATTTATCATATATTTGTATAAATTTCTATTTATCCTATAATTATATTTATTATATATTTGTACAAATTCATATATATCCTATATTAATAGTTATTATATATTTAATAGTATATATTTATATTTACTGCATATTTATATAAATTCTTATTTATCCTACATTCATAAATTTCTATTTATCCTATATTTATTATATATTTCTATTTATCCTATATTTCTATAAATGTCTATTTTTCCTATAATTATATTTATTATATATTTATATTCATTATATATTTGTATATATTTCTAGTTATTCGATATTTATATTTATTCTGTATTTATATTTATTATATATTTGTACAAATTTACAATTATCCTATATCAATATTTATTATATATTTATTTTATACATTTATATTTACTGTATATATATAAATTCATATTTATCCTATTCTTCTATATATTATATTTTTATATTATATATATTATATATTTATATTTATTATTATATATTGTGTATTATATTTATTTATATTATATTTATATAATATTATTTATGTCATATTGTATTTATATTATATTTTTATTATATTATTTATATCATAATATATTTCTATTATATTATTTATCATATTATATTTCTATTATATTTCTATTATATTATTTATATCACATTGTATTTATATTATATTATTTATATTATATTTATATTTACCAGTTATTTATATAAAGGTCTATTTCTCCCATATTCCTTTAAATTCCTATTTATCCAACATTTCTCCGTATCCTCTATTCCCATTTCTCCCATATTTCCATTTCCATCCATCCCTATTTCCCATTAAAATTGTAATTAAAGCACCGACCTTTTTTCCCTGGGAAGGGGGATCCGCCGGGAGAGTTCCCTCCTCCTGCAAGGAAAAAAAAAACCTGGGATGTGCCGGGATGGATGGGATGTGCCGGGATTCGGGATCAGCCGCCTCCTCCCGGGGAAGAGGAGGATGGACTGGGAGCTGTACCTTCATTTTCCTGGGATGGGGAGGGCCTGGATACGCCTGGAATGGGAAAGAGGAGAGGTGTCATGGTTTGAGATAGCCCCAAAATCCAATTCCCTAGCTCCATCCCCCCTCCCACATCTCAACCTAATGCGAGATGGGTTTTTCCAGACAAAACACAACCAGACTCAAAGTGGGGGAAAGGGAATATATATTACAATGACTGTACAAATAAATACTATAACACATTATACACACGATCACAACTATCTCTACCATGACATATAGTATTTACAATGGATCAGATCTCCTCTCCCCTCCAAATAAAAGTCCAGGAGGGAAAGAAGGACAGATCCTTTCCAGTCTCTCAGGGTGGCAGCTTCTTCTAAGGCAGCAGGTTCTCCTCATCTCATGCATGCAGCAGTAACTGGATTGTTGTAGCTGGATCTCTGTTCAATACACACAAGGGGGTCTCCAGTCCCCTTGGCCCGTCGTCTCCAAAACGAGGGTCTTTCTCTTCCGTGGACTGCGTAGCAGGGACAAGCTCGCGTCACCACGTCATACCACGAAGCTCAGGGGTCTTCGTGGCAGTCCCTTTCCTCAGGGGATTCAAATTCCCCTTTGCAGAGCTCTGTGCTCTGTCTCAAGGCTGCTAGCTTAGCAGCAGCAGCGAGGGGGGCCAAGGTCAACCCCCCCGCATTCCTTCTCCGTCCCGGTCCAGCTTCCCAGGACGCCTTTGAGCTTCTCAGCTCCTCTCTGCAAGTGCTGTAGCACTCCAAGGTTCTTTCAAGCAAGAGTCCATCATCTTCCTCCTTCCAGGAGGTCTCAAGGAGTTTGGGGGGTTTGGTACAGTTCCTACCCCCAGAACTCTGAAGTTCTGCTGCGGGCTCTCTCTCTTCTGCTGCTTCCTCCGGTTCAGTTCTTATCTGTCCTGGCTCTTATCCAGAGTCTCTGGACACTGCCGCCGCTTCTGCTCTGTCTCTGTAGCCCCCAGTTGGGGCTGGGGGGGGGGCCAGAGGCCCCGAGGGGCTCCGGGCCCCTTTCCTCGTGGCTCTACAGCATGGCTACTTCTTCCACAACCAAACTACCACACCTTCTCTTCCGGTGCTTGTGATATGTTTACATTTCTGCAGGAGCGCTCATTGGACAGAACTCCAAAACTTCCAGGGGTTTCCACCCCTGGGGGTTACCACTTTTCAGCCTCTGGGGGAAAACAAGGTTCAAACCACTACAAGAGGGAAAGGTGGGAAAGACTCCTGGGAGGAGGGAAGGGTTGGGAAGCAGGTGGGGAGGCTGCTGGAATATCCAGGGAGGAGGAGTGTTCCCTGGGATCGGCAGGAACCCGTGGAAAGGGTTCCCAGGGATCACTTGAATCCCATGGAAAGGGTTCCCAAGGAGCAGCTGAATTCCATGGAAAGGATTCCCAAGGAGCACCTGAATCCCATGGAAAGGGTTCCTAGGGATTATCAGAACCCCATGGAAAGGGTTCCCAGGGATCACCAGACCAGGGATCACCAGAATCCCATGGAATCTCCAGGGATGAGGAGTGTTCCCTGGGATCACCAGAATCCCATGGGATCTACATGGATGAGGAGTGTTCCCTGGGATCACCAGAATCCCATGGATAGGGTTCCCAAGGATCACCTGAATCCCATGGAATCTCCAGGGATGAGGAGTGTTCCCTGGGATCACCAGAATCCCATGGAAAGGGTTCCCAAGGATCACCCGAATCCCATGGAAGGGGTTACCAGGGATCAAAAGGACCCCATGGAAAGGGTTCCCAGGGATCACCAGAACCCCATGGAAAGAGTTCCCAGGGATCACCAGACCAGGGATCAGCAGAACCCCATGGAAGGGGTTCCCAGGGATCGGCAGGAGCCCATGGAAAGAGTTCCCAAGGATCAGTAGAACTTCATGGAGAGGGTTCCCAAGGAGCATCTGAATCCCATGGAAGGGGCTCCCAGGGATCAGCAGGACCCAATGGAAAGGGTTCCCAGGGATCACCAGAACCCCATGGAAAGGGTTCCAAAGGATCAGCAGAATCCCATGGAAGGGGTTCCCAAGGATCACCTGAATCCCATGGAAGGGGTTACCAGGGATCACCAGACCAGGGATCACCAGAATCCCATTGAGGAATTCCCAGGGATCACCAGACCAGGGATCAGCAGAACCTCATGGAAGAGGTTCCCAAGGATCACCAGAATCCCATGGAAGGGGTTCCCAAGGATCACCTCAATCCCACTGAAGGAGTTCCCAGGGATCACCAGAACTTCATGGAAAGGTTTCCCGAGGATCACCAGAATCCCATGGAAGCGGTTCCCAGGGATCACCAGACCAGGGATCAGCAGATTCCCATGGAAAGAGTTTCCAGGGATCACCAGAATCCCATGGAAGGGCTCCTGGCTGGATATGGAGCAGCCTCCGTGCTCCCACATATCCCAGCTCAGCGCTGCCATTCCTGCCGGGAATGCAGGCTGAGGATCACTCCAACAGACTCATTCCAAGGAAAATCATTCCCAATTTTCCCTCCTTAACCCTTCCTTATCTTCCCTTAAATATCAACACCTGTATCCATATTTATATCCATATAAACAGGTATTTCCCTCTTCAATTCCATAAAAATCAACTCCTTGCCCTTTTTCCTTCCTGGAATGTCGCGTTAAAGTCCGACGGGACCGTCCGGGCGTTCCAGGGAATATTTAGGAAAAGTTTATCAACTCCCAAATTTCCTGATTCCGACCCCAAATTTCCTGATTCCGACTCCAA